CCGCCATGCGCACATTTTTGCGCGCCCTGTCGCATGGTGTTTGGCACATATCAGGCCTGGTCTGTCCATGCCTTCAAGACACATGGCCGAACCATGGAATCCCGCCACGTGCAATTAGGCACGCAGTGCCAGAGTTGCCTGAAGCACTTCACCACTCATGTCAAGTTGTGCCGCCACCTTCGCTATAGTTCTTCTTGCCGTGCCAAGCTACGAGGAGCCGGGCACGGCTGCGTAGCGGCTCCGGGACACGGCAGTAGGAAGGCTGCCGACCCTGGTAAGTATCAAGCCCCAGCCCTTCAGGCCCAAGGACCCGTCCTTTCCCTGGAGGAGGGACACTGGCTTGATTTTCTTGAGCGGCCCTCCATCGACATTCTGGACTGCCTACGCCTTCTGGACTATGGGCTCTCCCGGGAGAGCTGCACCAAGGACACTGCATGGAGCCGAGTCCGCACAGCCTTTTCTGCTTCGTGTGAGCCTGTGCAGCGACTGCGCCGGACGGCATCTGCTTGGCAGAGTGAGCTGCTCGACGGATATGGCGGGGGTTTTGAGCTGGCCCACCTCCTTGATATTGTTGAGTGGATCAGCTCCGCTGACTTGGCCACTTGGCTGGTCCCGAATCCGTCTTTCCAACCCAGCAGCCTGAACACCTTTAAGGACGCCGATCTGGTTCTCTCCTTTTTGGAGGTTGATACGATCCCTCCGCCCGTTGTTAAGCTATGCAACGAAGGTGTCCTCACCTGCATCGGTGCCGCTTCTTGGCTTGGCACTTCAGGCCTGTTGGGACCGGCTTCCCTATCCTTCTCGCATGAAGAATGCCTGGACTGTTTTCGTCAAGGGGGGGAGCCCAGCTTCTTCCAAGGTCCCTTTGACGATGTGCTTTTTGCCATCTCCCTTCAGGGTCTTCCGTGTTGGGCTGATTGTCCCAAGAGCCCTGTGCGCACCAAGCACTTCCTCTCGGTCCTGGAAGGTGCTACCCTTTTCGGCGACCTGGTACGCTTCACACTCCGTCTTTGGGTGTTGGGTGTGCCCACCTGCCTCTTTCTCCCGGATTGCCCCATTAGTGCTCTCCAGCCTCTTCCGAGCCTTCGGTTTCTTGAGCGCGCCTTGATCCAACGGAAGTCTGGACTTGTCCTTAAGGGCACGGGACACCTGTTTCACTCTTTTTAATTAATTCTGCAAGTGTGGGCCGCGCCCGAACATGGACACCACGCCCCAAAAGAGCGAAAAAAGAGCGATATATTTCCATGTAGCCTTGCCCTGTGAACAGTGCCAAGTGGGAGCCACAAATGTAGCCTTGCGTGGCTTCCTGGAGCTCTGCCGTGCTTGCTCTCGCTGTTCTTGTCTGCTCAAGGCCAGGCCGCCAGGCCCTTGGAGCTGAAAAGCAAACCGGTGACGATGCAGGTGGGCCGCCGCCTCGCACGGAGAAGGCACCGGGACAACGCTGCGCTTGCAGCCGCTTGGACGGCTGCTGTGTATTTTTTCGATATAGGGGTGGTTTGCGGCAACATGTCATCGCTGCACTTATCGAGCCTACAACCCTGCCAAGCGGCCAAGCGGCTTCTCAACCTAGCCAGGCGGAAGCATGCAGAAGAGAGCAAAGAGATTTTGTTTCTTAAGAAGGGTTTGAGATGTGGTGGGCGTGTGCGGGAGCAGCATGCATGTCTATCGGTCAGCAGCACCTCGCAAAGGTCAGTACATCCATGCCTCACATCAGGGTATTGGCAAGAAGGACAAGCAGGAGCAGCTGCGTTTCCGATGCTTCTTGTCTGGGCATATCTGGGTCTGGACGATGGGACCTGAGCAGGCCAAAAGCTCGCAGGGAGAAAGCCTGGCCGCCGCAGGCTCCACGTAGCATCAGGGCTCATGTCAAAAAAGAATCCTCCGTCAATCGGAAGGCGAGGCGCAGGAGGTGCGCCAGGCACTGTCTGCTCTCGGAGAGCCTGCAGCCTGGTGGGGATAGCGTAGTGCCAGCAGTTTTGAGTCTAGAGTCTAGAGACTAGGTATGACCTGCTGCACACCTTTGTGGCAGTGATGTGTGGATCTCAGCCCCGAGTCCGCTCAGCAGCATGCGACGCTTGACGCAGCCTCAGTGCAATTTTGAGGTCCGGTGGGTTGAATATGGCGAAGTCAGTGGGGACCTCGGTGCTGTCGGATTGGGCCAGCCAGCGCCGCTCAGCTCGTCCCCGGTGTGTCAAAGTCCAAATCGAGGTCCGAATGAAACCGTTTGACACAAGCCACAGCATTTCACCTTTTTCACGCAATCAAGCTCGTGGAATCAGACTAGCAGATTGCACAGAGATTGATCCAACTGCATACGGTGTGCTAAGACGGCTGCACAAGCTACCCGCTCGCTTCTCGATTGTCCCTTGAGGTTTTGCGCCTTCACTTCAGCAGCTCGACTACATAATCACACCTTCCGATTCAATGACAGTTGGCATCACGGCAAATCTAAGGCATAGATCCGGGTGCATACCAGAACTTGCCCGAGCCCGCGTGCAAGCAGTGGGAAGTTGGCCTCATGTGCTCCAGCTGCAATCCGGCGGTAGTCGGTTTTGGGGAGGCGATCTGCGTTTCGCCGTGTTTTCCATGTACGCAGCTGGAGGCCCTGGTATCGTGAGTTTCATCGGACGGACATGCCAAGTGCTTACCGGGGTCGCTGCCTGTCAAAGAGCCCTTCTGCGACAAGTGCTTTCAGAGAGCGCGGGGCTGCTAGGCACTCACGCTGCCGGCACGGCATGCTCCTGGCTAGCATCTTGCGAGGCCCCCCCCTTTGCTGTAACCCGAGGGCTGCCCTTGAGACGAACTTGTTTCAGAAGATGTGTTCCAGGTATGTTGGGCGACGGGCTGACGAGTGGACTACACGAAGAATCGCTGGACATTCTTCGATTGCCACTCCCAATGCGAGGGCCTCAAGGTTACGCGAGGGGTGAAATGTTGAGCACCATGCCTCGATCCAAGGGCTCCCGCTGCTGCTTCAGACACGGGGACGTTGCAACCCCGTCAGGTGGGATGTGAAACCGCAGCAACCTTAGTTCGTCGCAGGGTCTTTTCTCTCTCCACGCCACGTGAGGCGTCGCGCGCGCCCGGACATGTGCATCCCGGTCGCGCTTGTGGCTGCCATAAGGATGTGGTTGGAGGGCTTCTTCAGGGCTGGTCTCCGAAACAAAAACCTTCACTTGACACGACGTGCCGAGCCTTGCAGCTTCCAGAGCCGCTCTTCTCAATCTCGCGTGAGTGGCTTGAAGAACAGGGTCCCGGGGCAGATTTGTGACGAGAAAGATCCTTTGCATGTAGCTGTAGCTTCTGGTCTGGAGCCTAAGCGATTGGCTTCGATCTCGACCAGGCAGACAGTCCCTCTATCGGTCGCAATGAGGCGTGACTTGCTTGGAGGATGTGTGAACGCTTCGGGCAGTTGTCTAGGAGCGGTCTCGAGTTGCAAGTATCCCAGCGTCGTAGCATGTCGACTCTGCCTCTATCGGCTCTGACCAGCCCCGCCTGCCCGAAGCTCCTTCGATGGCAGGCAGAGTGCGGGTCAGAACACAGCATGGGTCAACCCTGTAGTGGCGCTTGAGAGGCTTTGAGGCTTCGATGCCGAGGATGCGATGCCGCCCCCTTCTGGCCGCGTGTGCGGCCGCGGTTCTCGCATATCACAGTGACAAAGCTGCATTGCCGAGAAGAGATGGGATGTGCTTGAGCCTTCGCCTGCCCAGACCTGCCCAGGTGGGCTCGTGGGCTTCGTCGCCGGAAGCATCTTCCCGGAGAGCAGAATTTCAGGGCGGTCTGAGCTGGTGCGGATGCAGGCGCTCAAAAGACTGTCGTGGCTTGGAGGCACCTTGGGGAACACCTCCCAACACCTTCTTGCATGCAGCGATGCCGCTATAGCTGTTTGTATGTGCGTTTGTACTTTGCAACATATGCACGAGGGTGTAAACGGGAGCGCAGTGCGTGACAAAAGTTGTGAGTTGAAGTGGCCCGGTCTCCAACTGAGGAAGAAAGAGAAAATCATGAAAAACGTGGCCAACGCGAAAAAAAACGGCCCACGAACCTTGTCAAAGAGGCTTTTCAACAAGCAGATGCGGAAGGTCGACATCTCAGCTGTGAATGTCAAGCGATACCGTCGTGCTGGTGCCGGTACATGGCCCAACAGCTGAGGTCAACAGCATTGCGAAGGACGACAACTGGGTCAACGAGTTTCTTTCCTACTCACGGCCACAGCCTGTAGGCGGTGAGTACGTGATGCCGCCCGAGGTGGCCAAAGCAGCACTAGAAGAAATCTACGGAGAAGGTCCTGACCTGCAGAACATCGACCTGGATGAGCTGGAGGAGGACGAGGATGAGGGCCCCTATGCCTATGCCAGCCAGCGGCCATATGATGCAAAGGAAGCTCAACAGGAAATCAACGAGATGGAACGCATGCGCAGGAAAGCAAACCCTTCCAAATCACCAGGCAAGACCCGACGGAAGGCCAGAGTAAGATGGAACATGGTGCCGGGAATTCAGAAGTACGTGGGAGTCGTGCCAAAGAACATTGCGACCAGCACAACTGGGACAATGAGCAGCAGCTCGTACAGATCCCATCAAGATGTCTGGATCAGTGGGGGCTCTGTTCATTATGACTACGAAGACAAGCCCTGGTAGATGGTAAGCAAGCTCTCACTCCCGATGCCTGCTAGCTGTACAGTCGGCGCTGGGCAACCCGTGCGCAGTCGAATGGCACAAAAGCAGAGTCCTTCGAGCCCTCCGTAGCAATTCGACATTTCCAGTGGAAATAGTAAATCTTGGAATGTCGTCATGACAGGAGCCACAGCTTTCTCCGAAGTCAGTCTCAGGACACTTCATCTTCACGCCTTAGCAACTGCACCACAGTTTAGCGCTAGCAGTGGCAAAGAAGTTCAGGTATTGCGCTTGCTGAGTTGCAAGGTTGGCAGATCAGGTGAACCCAAAATTCCGATCACATTCCAGTTCTCATCGCAGGTTTCAGCCTGAAGCTGTCGTTTGCATCGGAGTATTCAGGTCTTTTGTTCCCTGTGGATGGATTTCTGGCACTCAAATCACAGCTCTATGCTGTAGTGGAAGAAAAGCAGTTTTTGCTGTGAGATGTCTTGGAATGTCTGCGTGGAACAGAATCTGAGAGGACTCCGTAATCAGCAACGAGGACAAGCCGGAGAGGTCAGCTGAAGACACGAGATCAGGTGCCAGCAGCACCGAGAGATAGAGGTAGAAATGACTTGTCGTGCAGAACGGCACATTGCCTCATGTCTGGCCAACCTTCGAGGCTCAAAAGCGGCACCCAAAAGGTTCTTGAACAACGTACAGGCCTGGCTCAGAGCCGTCTCGGAAGGCCAGAAGGCAGTCAGTACGTTTCGGCTTTTGTCAGGTCTGCTGTGCTTTGGTCGGCTGTGAGTCACCTCTTGGCTTGAAGCATCATTTCGAGGCCGGCTCGAATCAGAAAGCTTCGACCGGTGTTGTCGGGTTCTGGGCAGGTCTTCAATCAGTGGTGTCACAGCGCGCACCTGCTGCCCTTTGTAAAGTGTGCCGCTCAGAAGCTTCGGTCACAGTTTGATAGGCTCACCGTAGATACTCCTTTCTGTGCCTTACAGTCTATATGCTATACTGATAATCAAGAATACACACACACAAATACACACACACATATATA